TTATCCAGAAATATCGATGATTCCATAGCTGCTGGCGAGCAGTGTTATCATTGGAGATGATCCCACTTGGTCCATGACTCCATGAGTGTATCATTTTTATCTTTCTGACAGTTGCGAATTTTTGAATCCTACCTCAATTATTTTTACAGAAGATACGGGGGCGTAACCATAAGAAATGTGACACACTGAATATATTTTTGCGAATATATCTGAAATTGTGGAAAGAAAAGGTAGGGTTATACATATATTTGTAATGAGAACGCCTGGGACTATTCAACTGTGCCAAAATATACGGGGTGTTCCTTTAGAAAAAACATAATTGGCTGCCGTGTCTTCTCAACGTCACCCTGTATAAAATTTCTGATGATGCCAATGGATTCCACGCATCATACTGTATAAATATACGTTTGAAATTTTTTGACACCTCTCACCGTAAAGTAGTCAGAAAATAAAATCGAAATCGGCAAATTTTCAATTTCCCCCTGTATCTCTGAAACGAATGAAGATATCGAAATTTTGATTGTGCCATTCGAGGTTTCTCCAAAATCGAACCCGGAACATGTATATCGGTTTTTCGATAACTCCTCTAGTTATTGAGATAAACGGTGAAAACGCCCAATTTTGCCCACCCTGTACATGGAATTTGAATTTGAAGACTTCAAACGAATCTACTTATCGAATTTGATAGTAGGGTGGTGAACTCATAGTTTGTCAGGCCGTCTGAGGGGAAAAGAAAAGGGGTTGAAGAAGGAAAAAATCATTATCTCTGTTAATACTGTTGTACAAGGTGATTCACCGTAAATGTCCCCCCTCTAGCTCTGTTATTTTGGAACAGATTCCAAAATTTTAGGAATCATTTGAATACATTTTTCATACATTCTTTTTTCGCAACATCAGAAAATACAGGGTGCTCGGAACAAACGATCTACAGGGTAATAGTTGATATTTTTAAATGAAACACTCTGTATTTCATTTTATTTTTAGATTCTTCCTGAAGAGCTGAGTCCATCAATGTATCACATTTGGAGTCTAGCAGAAATGATTACAGAGATATAGGGTGTTCAAAATCGAGATGTTTTTGTGTTGAAAATATTCAATATTGGTCAAAACGGCTCACATGTGTCTCTATATTAACTTCTAATTTTCTATCTACCGATATTTAATTTAAACAGATACTGGGGGTGATCAGAATTCTTGATCTTAAACCACCCTGTATTTGTTTCAATCAAATATCGGTAGATAGTAAATTGAAAGTTGAGATAGGGACATGAAAGCCGTTTAGACTGATATTGAATAGGTTCCACATAAAATAATCCTAAAGTTGAAAAATTTCTTTGAACATCCTATATTTCTGTAACCATTCCCGATTAGACCCTATGATACATTGATGAAATCAGCTCTTCAGGGAGAATCTAAAACTGCAATGAAATTCAGGGTGTTTCATTCAAAAAATCAATTAGTAACAGTAGCATTTGTTCCAAGCACATTGCATTTTCTGATGTAGCTGAAAACAAAAAATCATGAGGAATCATTTCAAATGATTCCTAAAATTTTGAAATCGGTTCGAAAATTACTGAGCTAGAGGGGGTGGACATTTATGGTGAATCACCCGGTATATTGAAGTTGAATACGGCAAACGAATCTACTCATCAACTTTGATAGTAGGGTGTTGAAAATAAATCATTGGTAGATTCGTTTTTCGCCGCAAGAATCCATGTACAATGGAGATGATTTCGTTTCTTTTTCAACCTTTTTTCTTCCCAGTATTGCTATCTCCTAAATACCTAACCATGAAAACCTCCATAGATGGGCATTATGGTGGATAATGAAAATCTGAAGAGGCCCCTAACATTTGGGGCACTTCCATGAGCAAGTTGATGACACAATGAAGATGAAGATATATATATTTCTATCGTCAACAAAAAAGTTATTATTTCGGATGAAATTTTCACTTCCCGGTACATGAAGTGCATGATGCATGTCCGAAAAACCAAACTTCTAATTCGAAAGGCATTTTCTTTATTAATAAAAAATTTCATCTGCGAAGCATTCATTGTTCATCACAATAATGACTTAATCTTCATATGAATATGAAATAATTCAACACGACCCATCCCCCCCTTCATTAGGCCCGCGAATGTATTCAATATTCACCAAGTCAAAAAGGGAAAATGTGTCCATAGACGATTTTCTGAAGGATTTGCTAGAAACAATCAGCATTTATCGGTTGTCTTTGTCTAGGCGTATTGGCAACGCTGTACGACAAATATTATGATGGTCAGACATTTTATGCGATACTCGTGGACAGTAGCCAAACTACTTTAGATTATGACTATTACCAGCAGAGGCAGCACCTGCTGGAGCGATTAATCTATTTGAGAGGAATTTGGTAAGGGGTTTTGAAAACCCTATTTTAAAATCGAATAAATCATTGTTTATGACTGAAATAGGATTCAAGTAATCCATATTCGTTACATCTTACATGAATAATCAAAATATATCATACTTTTCGAATAATATAGATTTTACAGCAACTTTCAATGATTAATTCACTATTGTAGGAAAACTGTAAGTTCAAAAATTTTCAAAAAAATCAGGCATATTTTAATTCTTTGTTAAAAACTGCTGTGAGATTTTGACAAAAATTCATCGAACAGTTTTTGTGAAAACTAAAAAAAACCTATAAAAAAGGGAGTTTTCATTTTTTTTCTCAAAATTCGTTCGATAGATTTTCATCAAAATCTCACAGAAGTTTTCAATTAAAAACCTTGATATACCAGATTTTTTTCAAAATTTTTGAACTTGCCGTTTTTTTTCACGTGGGTTTACATGAACCTTAAATCATAGGGACCCTGCATAGACAAGACATGCACATTTCAATGTTTCAAATCTCTATACATACAGGGTGTTATTTAAGTACGTGGCCAAACTTGAAGGGGTGATTCTTTGAGTGATTCTAAGACGAAAAGTTCATATAAACATAGGTCCGGTAATGCTTCGTTTTCAAGATACAGGGTGTCAAAATTTTTAAAAGGAATCGTTCTTTTCGTAAATATCTTAATAACCCTTCAACCGATTCCATTGAAATTTGGCAGTGTTATTCAAGGTCGTAAAGGGCTAATTTAACCCTAACTATATCAAAATTATCATGTCCAGTGGCGTCCCGGAAGGCACTGTAAACAATATTTTTGACAGAAAAAATGTGCGCCACTGATTTTTTTGTAATTTTTGTATTTGTTTCACATTGAGCAACTAAAATTACAACTTTTTTATATTCAGATTTTTTTTCGTATCTTGCTTTGTTTTTGAGAAAAAACATAAAAATCACTTCATTGCACATCACTGTGACAACACAATAAAACATTTCAACTACTAAACCATCAAAAACTGGGGTCTTACTAATATTTTTTCATATTGATACTCTATTCTAGTCTTGGAATTTTCTATCAAAATTAATGCAATTAAAAAACAAAAAATATGTATGTATGAATTGCAGCACTTGCCTTCGGCTCGTCACAGGGATGTGCAATGAAGTGATTTTTATGTTTTTTCTCAAAAACAAAGCAAGATACGAAAAATATTCCAGAAATAAAAAAGTTGTAATTTTAGTTGCTCAATGTGAAACAAATACAAAAATTACAAAAAAATCAGTGGCGCACATTTTTTCTGTCAAAAATATTGGTTACAGTGCCTTCCGGGACGCCACTGGACATGATAATTTTGATATAGTTAGGGTTAAATTAGCCCTTTACGACCTTGAATAACACTGCCAAATTTCAATAAAATCGGTTGAAGGGTTATTAAGATATTTACGAGAAAAACGATTTCTTTTAAAAATTTTGACACCCTGTATCTTGAAAACAAAGCATTACCGGCCCTATGTTTATATGAACTTTTCGTCTTAGAATCACTCAAAGAATCACCCCTTCAAGTTTGGCCACGTACTTAAATAACACCCTGTATATACCTAGCAAAAGTTGGTTATTATCTTGGAGATGAATGTTTCCCGGATTAACCGGAATTCCTGGAAATTCTCCGGAATACCTCAGAATTCCTATGAGATTCCTATCAATTGTACACCAGAGTTGGAATTCCTATTGAATTCCCATGTGGTCAACCCCTCCATTGAAGTTTTAGTAGTGATTAACCTTAGGTAATCTATTTTTGCATATTGAAGTGATGATATATGAAAAGGAGGTAGGTATAATGAGTAGGTATCAGCCATAATATATATTTCAGGATATTGGAAAATGCTTTTGTTTATCATCTTTCAAAGCACACGAAAGGAAATATCTATATTATACCTAGAGAGGATGAGGAGAGAAGGCAAAGGTACAGGTATTGGAATTTTCTTTCAAGTTTCAGAAGTTCTTGAGAATACTTTCCCATAGGCAAATAATTTCATTGCTTAGCCATTCCATAATCAAACAAGTCTCAGTAGAGCTGTCTACATATCTCCAGATGGATTACAAATGGATGTGTTGACTGAGCTTGTAGAGTTTGGCTGACTGGTATAATTGCTAGTGATGGAATGATAAGCAAGATTTCTATCTATAGTAAAGTAAATGGTTGCAGACTTTCCTTCAATGTTTCAAATATGTTAAGGATGAGCATATGTCATCACCAACTAGGCAAATAGCTAGTCTTTCAATGAAATTTCCAGCCAGTAATTTAAGCAATTGCATGCCCTTGTCTTGAATATTATGTAAAACTTCTGATATTCACATTATTATTTCATTAACACTTGGTTTTTGTCAATGCATTATTGAAACCTTCATGAATTACCAACCATTGCCAATGTAACTATCTCAGTACCTATCAAAGTACATAATATGCTATTTCTGAACACCTCCAGAACACAATAATAAATAGTATTTGAGCAAACTGAGATGTTTATGTTCAAACCATGATGTTCAAAACCAAAATGAGTAATTTACTTCAGTCTCCTACACACTACATACTTGATAATGCTCAAGCACCAAGAATACAGAAATACTCACTGTTTATTGTTTTCTTCAAGGTGAATGTACCACTAATCCAGCAAAAAGTATCAATAAAATCTTTACTGATATCTGTTTTTCCAATATGACAATTAATTGGCTCTCCGAAATACTGCTTACTAGTCAACAATATCGAGAACCCAAGAAGGAGAACAACTGTTACTTTATAATGTAATTTAAATACATTATTATCGGCATGAATTTTCTCCAATCTCAATAGAGTCCTTAAAGATTGATAAAAATCTATCATTTCTAGGCTACAAAGCTACTATCATGAAGCACACGCCAGCAGTTGAATATCAATGATATGAATAATGAAACACGAATTCAACAAGAAAAAGCCACTTCACTACTTATGTTTAAAAAAAATGTTGAAAAAAACAGTACATTCATGATACTCATTTCAAATTCGTTTTTTGTAGATTGTAGTCCATTTGCACGTTTAAATGTCGATCGTGCCTACTAGTAGTTCAAAAGTAGGTTGGGGTTACAGGATATTGGGATTTAATCCGACACTTCTGTCCAATCTAATTTCAATTTCACCGTAGATTCGTCATGTCCAATATTTTTGCCCAATCGTTGAAATTATATAATATGATTTTTATTATGAACATCTATAATATGAATGGTGTATCTTATCGATATGAGAAGACATTGTTTTGCTGATTATTAAAATAATAACAAATAGCCAGGGAGCACTAGTAGACATAGTTGGAGAAAATATAGTACGCAGGTGAAATCCAAGGTAAAATCTTCATTATTTCAAGTATTTCTACATACGTGATCATTTTTGAAATAACTAGGCAACAACAAAATAAATATGGCAGACAGAAATATCTACAAGTGATCTACTACAAGTAAAAACCCATTCGAGTTACTAGTTACAAGCAGATGAGATGTGCTACTTTGCTGAATGTATAAGTCCGATAAAAAAGCGGGGACTACTACTTTCTTGTCTTCTGAAACGTTTGAACGAAATGAACAAGAAACTTTCAAGAACAGACAAACGTTTCGGCATTTTTAGCCACAGAACATCAACATTCTGATATCAATATTCACCAAACCCATTTATAACCATGTTCCTAGATTTTTCTTTAACGATATCGATCCTGAATCAGCATCTAGAATTTTTCGTTCATTATGTCGTTGGCCATTGTATCGTTAACATAACGATATCGGATTCTAACGTTATTACTGAATAGACCCCTAATTAAGTGAAAATGTTCCATATGAAAGGCACAGCATAAGGATTATACGACTCGTCTCAACTGCTATTCCAGAAAAACTTGTTTTAGCATGAACATTTGCCTAATTTACAGTTGCTTAATCTTTATGCTGTAATAAAAGTATGTTTCATTGTAAGTAATTCATATCAATTTTGACCCCATTCCGAACTTTTGTGCTATGAAAGTTAGTCAAATGAACCACTGAACGTATAGATATTTTTATATCACAGAAAACATGATTGGGCGGCAAGGGGCGGCATATATAGCCGGGCCATAGCTGTCAGCAGCGGATATGTGTCGGCTTTATCATCTCTCGCCAGTCATGAAAGTAGTTGCATGAGGTATATAAATTCATATACAGAGTGACCCATTCGAAAGCGTGTCACTCTCATACATTGTTCATTTATGGAAGGGTATTCACGATTGTTTTTTCGGAATGTGGAGGGAGAAAAAGTGTATTTTGGAGCTGAGCGGCGTCTATTTTTATAAAAAACCAAGGCCTACTAGATCACATTCAGAGTGCGTAATAGGAAGTTTTCGGAAAACATCCGCGTACACCACCAGAGTCGGAGGACTCTGAAATAGATTCGTACCAAGTTTCATGGAAAAATATCGAACTTTTATTCGAAATGGCAGCCCTCGTTATCTCAGTTAAATTAGTCGTGTATGCCGGTATGAATAGCCATAAATACAGGGTGATTCAAAAGTAAGCGGCATCCTTTCAGAGGCGTATTCCTTGCATGAAAATAAGGCAAAAAGTTCCTATTGATAAGGATCCGAAAATGCTTCCTAAGGGAGCTACGGCCCTTTGAATAGGACACCTCAAAGACGGTTTTTTCTCTATAACTTTAAAATCCTTCACAACAAATTTTTAAAAATTGGTGTACGGCATAAACATTCGATGGTAAATAGGACTCCGTATTCGAAATAATTTCCAAACGAAATCACAGTAACCTGAATATCCGGAGAAGAAGGGATATTTTTACACTTACCCTCTCCCGCATGTGACGCCCCTGAATGAAATTCTGAAATTTCGAATACGGAGTCCTATTTACCATCGAATGTTTATGCCGTACACCAATTTTTAAAAATTTGTTGTGAAGGATTTTAAAGTTATAGAGAAAAAACCGTCTTTGAGGTGTCCTATTCAAAGGGCCGTAGCTCCCTTAGGAAGCATTTTCGGATCCTTATCAATAGGAACTTTTTGCCTTATTTTCAAGCAAGGAATACGCCTCTGAAAGGATGCCGCTTACTTTTGAATCACCCTGTATAATCAGTTTTTTAGAGACGAATATCCTGTTTGACAGAGCCGTGCTTTTCACTGAAATAACGAAGGAACTGAAGGGCCACCTATACTTTTTTTTTTGAATCCCGACTTTGAAGTCGGGGGTCTGACTTTAAAGTCGGGGGTCCGAGATTAAAGTCGGGGGTCCGACTTTAAAGTCGGGGGTCCGAGATTAAAGTCGGGGGTCCGACTTTAATCTCGGACTTCATGGATAAGTACGAAACGGGTGTTCTCAGACCCATTCTATTATATATCATTGAATTTGTCTTTCTTAGCTCTATCCAAGAATGAAATTAAATACATTCGAAAATTCCGAGAAAATGATCGGTTTGGAAAATACGTCATCACTTTTGTTTAATTCGAATATCCTTAATATTGACAAAATATCAATATAACATATATAATTAGTTAATTCATAATGAGAACTGCGCATTGAAAACTTGATTCTCAACGTTTTCATAAGGCTTAGAAATTTGGCTATTTATTGAAGAAGATTATGAAAATAGTCCGGAAGGGTTAATAACTCATACCTACAAATGTAATCATATATCATTGAACTCATCTTTCTGAGCTCTACCCAAGGACGGAATGACATTCAGGGTAGTTCATTTGTGAAAATATATGGTTTGTATTGTAATCTTTCTGCACCCTTTAAACAAACAAATGAGATTCTTAGCTATTAAGTGGAATATAAACAATCACCCTATACGTACGATAATGATCGTACAGGTGTGATCCATTATTTGACATTCAGTGTACATCCAAAAAGGATGATTTTGACTGATCCTTATGTGATGATTATCCAATGGATGTAAAATTGTTGTTTGTACATCAATGTGTTTCTCGAGTACATGTAGAAAATTCAGGAGCATGTTGCTGACGTCAAACTGATGAGTAACAATGGAAATTATCTATTTCTGTCCACATATTTAACGAATATAATGTAGCTCCAGACTCCAGACTCTAATCTCGGACCCCCGACTTTAATCTCGGACCCCCGACTTTGATCTCGGACCCCCGACTTTAAAGTCGGACCCCCGACTTTAATCTCGGATCCCCGACTTTAGAGTCGGATCCCCGACTTTAATCTCGGACCCCCGACTTTAAAGTCGGACCCCCGACTTTAATCTCGGACCCCTGACTTCAATCTCGGACCCCCGACTTTAAAGTCGGACCCCCGACCAGCCCCGACTCTAAAGTTGGGATTCAAAAAAAAAAGTATAGGTGGCCCTTCAGCGCCTTCGTAGAAAACTGCATTTACGTACCCTTTACGTATATCTCAATCCCAAAAGAGTCACACAGACTGAAGTTTCCTACGTGAAATAATAAAAAATAATCGATAATTATTTACAGCGACTTTGCCTAGCTAGACTTAGACTCATATACTACAGGTACGAGCACTGCAAATACGTGTGGCTCATGCTCATGATACGTCCTTGCCAAAGCAATGGATGTTTGGTTGCATATATACCGCAATATTTATTGATACAGGCAATGAACTTCTTTCCGAAGTGGTGCAAAGTTACCCAGGCAGGGGCAAAAGTAACCCTAGTTCACGGTATGTGATCTAGTAAGCCTGGGTTATTAAAAAAATAGACGCCGTTTAGCTCCAAAATACAACAGTATATTATCCTTTCTCGTGAAAGGATAAGATACTGTGGAAATAGACGTGAAAATCGCTCCATGAATAACACATTTATAAGGGTGGCCTGTTTTCGGAAGGGTCACTTCATTTTTACTACTGGTATACATATACAGTGTGTGTCTCACTTCTAATGGAAACACCCCTGAATCTTTGATAATTGTTGAGTTAGGATTCTGGAATTTGCAGAAGCGAAAGGTATACTGGAAATACACACTATAACCCACTGAAGTCATCTTCAGTAGAATTCACTGCTCGCCAACAGCCATGGAACCACCCACATTTCCAGAAAATGATATTAGGAGGCAAGGTGTAGGTTGAAAATCACTTCGGATTCGTAATCCGGACGTCCAGTTCACTCGTTTTTCATATTTTTCCTGAACATTTTCCAGTTTTGGAAAATTAAATTTTGCCTCACTTTTAATGGAATTACTCCCGTATCTCACGTGATTGACTTGATCTTCAGCCCCTCCTTTTCTTCTACAAATTTCAGAACCCTACCTCAATAATTACGTAACGGGGGTGCTTCCATGAATACTGAGACAAAATTTGATTCTTCAGAACTGAACACTTTCTCAGGAGAAATATGAATAGTTAAGAATGTTAACTCTTGATTCCAAATCTGAAGGGATTTTAAACCTATCTTGCCTCCTAATATCATTTTACGGAAATGTGGGTGGTTCCATGGCTGTTGGTGAGCAGTGTATATAACTGCTGAATATGACACCACTTGGTTATTGTGTGTATTCACATTTTATCTCCTGCTCCTGCAAAATTCAAGAATACTAACTAAACAGTTACGAAAGATACAGTGGTGTTTCCATCAGAAATGAGACACACGCCTAAATGACCGGAATGAGGGCTAACAGTATCACTCTCAGGTCAGTGTCAAAGTCTAAAATCCAAAAATTTTGCAGGATAGCCGAAAAAGCTATTGTCTGTTTCATCGAAAATATTCGAAAGAAATGATAAATATTACGTATTATTACTCTCAACTTTACGACCAATTCTTTCATCGACGTAGAAGAAAATATCGTAGCAAGACGCCAAGTGACACGAAAAGAATAAGTATATTAATCAGCTCTACCTGGTGTTAC